AGTATTTATAGGAAATAGTCATTGCTGCAAACCCATAACGTTAACGTTGTCGTTATACGTTTGCAGTTATGACTATATCCTATAAATACTGCAACTTACAGTGCAGATGTTACCTCCTGTGTGGTATTGCTTTCAGCTCATGTTTCTGATGAAGAATCAGCGACGGATTTCGAAACTTCAGGCGAATAAAAGTGTTGTTCCAGCGATCGCATTTTCTTTATCTCAATCACTTCCTGGGACTCACATGTGTGCTTGTTTTGCAAACACAATTGTCCCAGCTCGAGAAAAACGAAACATTCGGGAGTAGGGCTGTATTGTCGGTAAAAGGAGTTGTTCTGATAGTTTTCTTCGTATATGGGCTCACTTTATTAACCAATAGGCCAGCTAGTGGTGAAAGGGGCTTTTCTAATAAATTTTCGGTCTATGGATTTCCTTTATTAATCTGTAGGTTTGCCTCATTTGTATTTTTTGATCCGCAGCCCTTCTTTTCGCCAAGAGTTTCAGTTAAGTAAAACAACTAAAGGCGTCTTAACTGTTTTCTATTTGTTCTCGCAACCAAACGGCCTCCTGATTTACCCCACCCCACCCCCCATAATTCCCTTTTGCCACGAAGTCAGTAAGAAATTTGAGCGGGAAAATTTATTTTAAGGCGGTCTTAAAAGAAAGCTTTACTCCTCCGGGTCAACCCTTCTTCAGTGTAAGTACCCCTACATTTTTAAATGTTCCCGCTGCGAAACAGATAGCGCTAACGAAAAATATGTTTGCGCATTTTACTGTGGGCAGTCATTATAAGCGAGTTCTTCACACTGAAAATATCCTGGAGGGTTTCTACTTATCCGTATAAACAACCAGTCAGTAAATATGTTAACTAAACATTGGTTACTCGAGAATAAGACAACAATTTTTTCTAACGATTCCTCTAATCTACAGTTTCGATCCGATCACAGGACTGCCGGATCGCCGTACGCCGCCTGGTCCTAGTGCTTCACCTAATCACATCCCAATTAAGATCATTTATGAGGTCAACTGGAGATAATAAGAGAACGAGAAATTAAATTTGCTCTTCCAAAAAACCTACCACTTCTGTTTTCTGGAATGCCTCCACAAACTTCCGATTCAATGGGCGTTAACTTACCCTGCCTCTTATCAAGAGGCATGATCGCAGACCCCTTCCCGCCCGGGGGTAGGAAAGATTTCGTCTAGCAAAAGCGCTACAAATATGCGTCCGCTGCAGGAATGGCCATACTCACACAGCGTACATACATTGCACACAGGATCTTTGTTCAATTGGAGGCATGGGCTGTGGAGGACCCGTACTCTCCGAGGCGTTCGTGGACTCGAAAAAACACCGGTCGGTGCGGCTAGGTCTGGCAGCCTCGAATGTGCCACATTAGTCAGTAAGGGCTTCATCGCGGGTGCGAAAGTGGGATCGACACAACTTAAGTCAACTTAAAATACCGTCAATAGTAGTATCTGACAACCTGTCTGCTGCCGCCACTG